TCCCTCTCTCTTTCTTTCTCTTTCTTTCCCTCTCTTTCTTTCTTTCCCTTTCTCTCTGTCTTTCTTTCTCTTTCTTCCCCTCTCTTTCTTTCTCTCTCTCTCTCTCCCCCTCTCCCTTCCTCCCTTCCCTCTCTCTCTCTTTCTTCTTCCCTTCCTCCCTCCTTTCCCTTCCCTTCCTTCTGTCTCTCCCTCTCTTCCTCCCTTCCCTTCCTTCCAGAGAGGGACAGAGTGAGAGAGAGAGAAAGGGAAAGTGAGAAAGCAAACCACCAGGTCTGGGACTAGAACCACAGTCAGCCTTGTGGCAGTCCAGCGCCCTCAGCCACCATGCCACCCGCCAGTCCCTTGACTTTACCTTTTGAGCTCTGTTTTAAGTGGCTATTGTCTTAAATAGTATTTCAGCATTTGCTGTATGTGCCTTAATTTGGAATATCTGTTAAACAAGATTTTTAAAACAATCCTCTCCTGTCTCTGTTCTCCTTGCTTTCCTCAATTTCAGCATTATCATCTTTTCCTATTTAGTATTTCTTTTCTTAAGCAATTAAAATTAATTGCTTCTTAGCCATGGCACTGACGACCTTGTAACTCTGGCCTAGAAGAGATTAAGCTATAGCAATAAGAGTATAAATTATAAATGGTCTAAGGTTGGCATATGAATTAATAATAAATCCCAGCCAGTTTCACTTTATTATCCTTCTACTATATTCCTTTCTTCTTTTTGTTTTTAAAATTTGTTATAGGGTATGTGCAATCACCAGAGAGAGAGGGAGAGAAAGCAAGCTGCCAGATGTGGGATTCAAACCATGGTTGGCCATGTGGGAGTCCAGTGCCTTAACCACCACACATCACCTGCTGGTCCCTCCTTTATTCTTAAAACAAGAATTTTCGATTCACTGGTGGTTTTGAGCTATTGCTGTAGTTTCTACTCATTTGTACTTTTTCAACTTATAGGTGAATATTACTCATGGGAAGGGAAATGGTAACTTGGTTTGTGGTTTTCTTTTAAATGGCTAAATGACATATAGAAAAGAGGAAATTAGCTGGGACCAGCAGTTAGTATAATGGCTATGTCACTGAACTCCCATGTAGCCGACCACAGTTCAAGTCCCGGACCTGGTGGCTTAAACTCATGCCGGGCGCATGTGCGTGAGTGCCCAAGATCCCGAGAGGAGAATGGAGGAGAAGGGATTGCGGCATGGCCATCCCCCCGGGGGGTGATTTCTCGCTTTCTATCTCTCTGTCTCTCTCTGTCTGTCTGGCGAGCGCATGTGCCATATAGCAAAAACCTCTCCAAAAAACAAAAGGAAAGAGGAAATTAGCAAAACTGATTTAGATTTTCTAAGTTGTGTATAGAACTTATAAAGTATAGTTCTCTGTCTCAGAGTGTTTAGGCTTTCTCATATTACAGAATTATTTTAATGCTAACCTAATATATTCCCAGATACATTTAAGGTTCTTTATTAAGTAAATTGTATTTAAAAAAAATAAGTACTTTAACTGATTTGACTCTTTTATTCATTAGTTTTTAATTTTTTTTTGTGAAAGTCTGTAGAAAAAGCTAATTTTAACTTTGTATCATTTAATATGAAGGAGAAAAGAAATCAAGTCCAAAAAAAGAAAGGATAAAACCACAAAAGATTGTGAAAAGTCATCATATAAAAAGTCCAAGTTATCTTCTGCAGAAGAGGCCACCAAGAAAAATGATAAAGGTAAAAAGAAAATAAGATGTAGTATCTACTTACATTTCTTAATATGAAATATAATCTGCCATGTCTCTGTGGAGAATTTTATTGATGAATATATTTTGCTTTATAGTAGTTGAAAGGAAACTGGTTAAGAAATTTAAGAATTTAGATAGGAAGTTATAGTGACAGGAGTTTTAAGAACAGGTTTGATTTTTATTAATTTTTGACCGAAGGTGTAATATTACAAACAGCATTCTGATTCCTGAGTTAGTTATCTACAGACTTGTTGCCTTAGGTTACTGAACTTGTTGAGTTTTACTTTTCTTATATATGTATGGTTGATGTAAATACCTGGCCTCCATACTTAATTAAGCTGATTGTGGAGACTCAAACAAGAATGTGAAAGGTATCATTTTGAATATTATAAGACAATCCATAATCTACAAATTAGCATACAGTTGTAATTGCTATGATCATGGTCATAGCAATTAATTGATAGGATCTGTCACATAGATAGTCTCAGTCTATGTGATTTTTTTCACTAGCTTATGAGCTTCTTGGAATGAGAGAAATTTACATATGTGTCCTCAGAATATAGCCTGGCACTGTGCACACATATTCAGGAAACGTTAAATTCAAACCCATCAGTTAGCTGCTTGCTTTTCCTAGGCCGTCCTTAAGTTCAGTGAGCCTTGTATAGAATGGCCATGATACTAGCACAAGTACTACTTGTACGATTGTCCAGAAGTTGAGATGCATAATGCAGTAAGCGGTGTGCATAGTACTTGACACTATTTAGCTGTCTTGAAGGTCACATCTAATTGCTTTTTCAGCCCATAATAAAGTAGAGTTGAACTGGCTGTGACATGTAGTGAATCATACTTCAACTAGGTAGATAACGCTAGGTTGGATTGGAGTCAAGCCAGTGTTAATATAATACTTGGACAGGAGAGGGCTCCCTTACTCCAGCTACGAAGATCATTAGTTACGTTGCATTCTTCCATGGTCTTTTTCTGTCTTACATATCATAATATATTTATTATGTAGATAGAGTTAAAATATTCAAGTAAATAGTATCACCAAGTTTTCAGACTTGGCAGAATTGATAGGTGGTGAGAGGAAGATCCTGTTATTTTGTTTGTTGAGAGAAGCATTTAAGCACAGTGCCTTTTTGTTTCTATTTTAATTGCTTCCCACCTCTAATATAAATTTTAATTAATCAATGTAAAAACCTCATTTGAATTTTTAAACTTGTATTTACCCATAAGTGCTAATAAAATAATTAATGTATTGTTTGAGGAGTTTGTTGCATGCATTATCATAGCATATAATATTATATTCATATAAATATATGATACCATGTTAATCACTACATACTCCAAATGAAGGAAGAACTGATCTCGACTTTGTAAAACGTTATTCACGTCTAATCAGTACCTTCAAAACAGCTTAGGGGAATCAGCAGGTGGCGTAGCGGTAACATTGCTGGACTCCCACATGGCTGACTGTGGTTCAAGTCCTGGACCTGGTGGCTTGAAAATTACACCAGGCACATGTGCGTGCATGCCCAAGATCCCAGGAGGAGAGTGGAGGAAGAGGGATTGCAGTGTGGCCATCCCCTCTGTGGGGGCGATTTCTCACTTTCCCTCTCATTGTCTTTGTCTCTTTCTTTCAGAAAAAACACACATACTCTAAGGCATAAAACCTCTTTTAAAAGGAGAAAAAAATAAATAAATAAAGGCAGGCTTAGGTAGCTGGGTACTCCAGATCCAGATAGGACCCTTCATGTTGTACATACCTGTGCATGTGACCTTTCTTATAGTTGTTTTCCATTTAGTGTTCTGTATTTAGTAGATGACCCTTATGTCGAACTAATGTCAGAAGTTTGGAATTATCTCTGATCATCTCTTTTCCCTCTTTATGCATGTTTAGTTTGTCTCCAAGTCCTATCAGTTTCATCCCCAGATGGTATGTTTCTCAAGGTCTCCCCACCCTATCACAGTTCACCTTCTGTTCTGATCTAAGTCACTGGTATATTCTCCTTACTAGTTCTCCCATCATCCACCTCCTCTCCCGTTAGTTACTCTTTGTTCATCAGTAGCTTCCCATTGTTCTTAGGATGACAGTCAAAATCCTGGACAAAACCAAAAGGCTCTGCATGATCTGGCCGCTGTATACCATACAAGGCTTGTTTATCACCATTGTCTCCCTTACTTTCATATCCACTCATGTAGCCTTTCAGTTTCTAGAAAATGGTAAGCTTCTTTCTGTTTTAGGGGTTACATGGGTGCTGCTTCCAAACTTCCTAAAACTTCAAGTCCCAGACTTACTCATCCTTTAGGTCTAAGCGTAAATGCAACTTCCTAGGGATCTATTCTTGACTCTATTGCTCACCTTGAATCTAAATTATAACTCAATGTAATACTGTCATTGCCCTTGGGACTTTTTTTCATTCCATATTTGACGGTGACATAAAAACCCAAGGAGGGCAGGGATTCCGCCTACTTTATTCATTGTTGTGTCTCCAGAACCCCAATAGCACACATTCAGCACAAATACTAGAAAATGAGAGGGCACTGGCTGGGGGCATGGCAGAAATGCAGTGCTCTGCCAAGCTGGCCCACACTGGCAGGTTCCAGATTTGTATCTGGAGACCTCCCTGAATATGCTGGGCACACCTGGGCCCAGGGTCTAGGCTGACTGGGCATGGATCATTGCATGGGCATTCTGTTGGGGGTGCTGGTCTCTCTGTCTCTTGTGGAAGGAATAAAGAAAGAAACTTTTAAAAAAGAATGAAAGAATAAAAGACCTTGAAGATAATTTCTGAGTAACTTCAGGGATAGAAAACCAAAGCAGAGTGGAATTTAGAATCTGTTTCTTATTTATTCTCCCTATTCAGAGTGCCTTTGAGAGCAGAGACTCCAGAATATAACCCCCCACCACACTTTAAAACATTATCTATGGTATAAAACAGCAAAGAATGGAATTTTAACCAACTTCTAGTGACACTATGTGGAACTCTTTAATGTCTTCTTATCTGGGACCATCTGCAACCAGCTTGATTTTGATGTGAATCTTTCTTGCTAGACCATCTTAATTTGGCCCAAACTTTAATAATAATAATAATTATCAGCAATTCAGCTGTATTTGGACTGTTGCTACTCTTCAAAACAGTGTTTGTAATTTTACTCCTATCCTTCTGGCCTCTTCACAGCTGCCTCTCACTGTGGGTTCTTGACTGTCTTAACCTCAGTTATTGGAGTTCCTCAGATGTCTCTAGACATCTCTTTCTCTGTTTCCTTGTGTGATTCCATCTATACCCATAGGATCAAGCTACCATCACAGAGAATGTTAGCGAGTGAGTGGATGGCTAGATGACTAAACAAATGGGTAGAGAGAAGAGGTAGGAAAACCCAGTAGCTTGACTTTGAGGACCAGTCTGCTTTAGCAAACTGGCATGGGCAGAACAGGGTATTTAGGTAGACAGACTATCTTGCTAGAAAGTTCAAGATCTCACTCCCCTCACCATCATCCCTTCCCCAAAGGCCACCTCATCCTACAGGTTTCAGCTTAGCTGTGTTCTGTGGGAAGGTCCTTCCTGATACCCTTCACCCCACTTCTCCAACAGGAGTAAGTTCCTGTTACACGTTCCAATAGCACCCTGTACTTCTCCTTTAGAAACACACAGTGCCATGGTCATAATTTATTTCTTGTGAGGGAAGGCACTGTGTGACTTGTTTTGCTATCCCCACTTTCTTTCTTTCTTTTTATTTTTTTGAGAGTTTTTTTTTTGCTATAGGGTGTGTGTGCTTGCCAGAGAGACAGACAGAGATTGCCATGCCGCAGTCCCTTCTCCTCCATTCCCTTGGGATCTTGGGCCCGCACGCACACATGCCGGGTGTGAGATTAAGCCACTGGGTCCAGGACTCAAATTGCGGTTGACTGCGTGGGCATCCAACAACATAGCCATTACGTTAACTGCTGGTTCCCGTTATCTCCACTCTCTAACAGTGCTCACTCTTACTAGACATTCGTAAAGGATAAGTGAGTGAGTCAGCAAATCCTACCACAGTTTCTCAGAGTTGAACAGCAGCAGTCAGAACATGAGTGATTGGGCCAGCAGATGGCAAATTGGTTACGTTGCTGGACTCCCACATGGCTGATGCAATTTGAATCCTAGACCCAGTGGCTTGAAAAATCACACCAGACATGTGTACGTGTTTGCCCAAGATCCTGGGAATGGAGGAGACGGAATTGTGGTGTGGCCATTCCTCCTGGGGGATGATTTCTCACTTCTTTCCCTCTCACGGTCTCTGTCTCTCTCTCTGGTGAGCACATATGCTCTATGACGAAAACCTCTTTAAAAAAAAAAAAAGAGCCATCAGTCTTGGGATTGGGATTGGGATTGGAATTGGAAGGACATTCCAGTTCAGCTTTTCAAAGTGCAGGTCCCTGGTTAGCAGCCTTGGTTCCCATCACTTGGGAATTTCTTAGAAATGTGCAGTCTCAGACCCTCTGGATCTCCTCCCAAGCTCCCAAGGTGATCATTTGCACGGCTCATTTGGGAGAAGCACTGCTCTCTATCATGTGGTGGTTCTGCTTTTGCTTCAACACCTCCAATGAAAAGGAGCCCATTCCTGTGCAAGAGAATTCTTCACATTTTCACGTATTTCTCTTAACATTTCACTCACATTCACAACTTTCTCTCTCTCTCTCTCTCTCTCTCTCTTTTTTTTTCCTTCTCATTATGTCTTTAGACCTCCAGAGTAAGCCTCACTTCTTTTTTACCTGTAGACCTTTGGATACTTGGAACCAGGAGTCATGTTCCTTGTGTTAGAAGATGACAGGGCAGAATACATTCCTTGTGTCTTTACCCTGTAGTTCTTGCACTCTGTTTGGCCTTAGAGGGGTCATAAACTTTGGCAATGAAAACTCCCACCCAGGGATATTGGAGAGATTGTTGTTACTCTCCATCAGTTACCTGTCTATTTTTTTTTTTTTTTTTTACTTCATTAGGCTTCAGAAATATTTGCCCTGAGTTTTTATCACAGATAGCTCTCCAAAGTAGTGATTAAAAAGAAAAAATACTAATAGGTCTTCAGCGCTTCTCTCTTTCTGTTTTCCTTACTGGATAACCATCATAGAGCTGAGAATTTTGTTTTATGATATAATTGCATATGTTATTATTAGTTACTGAGGACTAATTAATTTTCACCCACATATGACCTTGGAAAATATGTGAAAAACAGCTGTTTATTTATAAACTGCTTTCAGATGTTGAACATCTCCACAGATAATAGAAAGTTTTGCTTATATTATGGTTAATCTAACTATGTAGGTTTATATCCTAGTATTTTTGTTTGTTTGTTTTTGGTTTTTAGCAATACAAATTTCTTTCTTTCTTTCTTTTTACATGTACCCACTGTTTTTAAAGTTTTGTGCTAGTTATTCCGGGCTATGGTAGAGCACAAGATTTCCTGCCAAAAGGAACTGTTTAATTGTGGAGATAAGATTATGGGACATATACAATTAGAAAATAATGAAGTACTTATCTGTAAGACTATAAACAAACTAGATTATTAAAAATAATTCTGATTACAGCTACAACTGTCGCACCACTCCAAAATGATAAAATAATGCTGTTCCCTTTCCAGGGCATCCATCTTCAAAGAAATCAGAAGATTCTGTAAATAGTGAGTGTTAAGTATTTTTTTACTTAAAGAAAATATATAGATTTGAAGTATTTACAATTTGGGTTTCCCATGAGTAGTGTCTTACTCTGATGTGAATGGTTTTTTTGTGTTAGTACTACATGAAAAAAATCATAGAAGAAAGACCAGAGTTAACTATATTGTGTTGTGTAACAGGTCATTTCACAAATTGATTAAAAAAAAAAAAGAAAAATGCAAATCTATACTCCTATGAGATATCATCACATACTCTTTAGGATGTGACTATTAAAAAAGAAACAGGGAATTACAGAGTATTGGTGAAGAGGTGGAGGAGTTAGTATTCTTGTATACTGTTGGTAGGAATGTGTAATCAAATAGCTGCCGTGGAACAGTATGGCAGTTTCTTAACATTTCGAAAATGGAAATACGGTGTGATGCAGCGAGTCCACTTTTGGGTGTATTTTCCAAGAATTGAAAGATATTTGTACACTGATGTTCACAGCAGTATTATTCACAATAGCCAAAATGTAGAAGCTACTCAAGTGTTCTTTGACTAGCAAATGCATAAGAAAAATGTGGTACGTACATACAGTGGGATATTATCCAGCCTTAGAAAGGAAGTAAATTCTGACATCCACTGCTTGCCAATCTTGACACTGTGCAAAGTGGATCAGGCCAGTCACAAAAGAGACAACTACTGTGTAATTCCACTTATACGAAGTACTTAGAGCTATCCAAATTATAGAGACAGAAAGTTGAATGTTGGTTGCCCAAGCCAGGAGTTAGGGGAAATAAAGCATTATTGTTAAATGGATTTCCAAGATAAAAAGAGTTATGGAGTCATAAAGATAATAAGATTTATGGAGATGGATCTTGGTGATGGTTGCACAATACTGAGTGTATTTAATACTGAACCAGATACTTAAAAATGGTTACAATGGCAAATTTTGTCATATGTGTTTTACTACAATAAGAAAATAGAAAAAAAATTAATGACATATACCATATTAACAAACTTTAAAAAAAAAAAACTATCTGATCATCTCAAGAAAGGCAGACAAAGCATAAAAAAAGGAAAAAGACCAAAAGTGTATGATTTATTCTCCAGTTAAGAAAATTTTAAAGCTTATTTTAAGGATAGAGAATATTTACATTTTTTCCCCAGTAAGTACAATAGATACATATTTCAATTTCACATTGTAAGGTATAAAGGAAGAGAAATGGAGGGGTGAGGTTAGAATAGGAAATGAATGGGGGGTGGGTTAAGATTTAAGGAATGTTTATTTGCATAAGACTGAGTGATCTCTGTTATGTGGTGATTTTGATTGATGAAGTATGTATTTGTGTTTGGAAAGGAAAATTTTGGCAACTGGTTGTTGCTGGTTAGCCTTTAAATTTGTCCTATGGTTTTCACCAATTTTGCTCAAACAGATTGGATTTCATTGGCTATTTGCTTCAAATTCCATTTTTTCCCCCTGCAGTGTTCCCAAAACTATTCACAATACTTATAATAATATTTTTTAGATTAAAAAATCAGAATAATGGAAACATTAGGTAGAAGAGCAACATAAAGCTAGAGGGCACACTGACAAGTGAATGTCATTGTAGCAGCAGATCGCAAATCCATTCTTCCTAGCAGCCAGACTACAGTGGACTGTAGTTGTCGTTTGTACCTGTGAGGTAATAAAGGGAACAAAGAGGGGGTTCAGTTTTTCAGGGGAATTTTGGGAGAGGAATCTCCTGTGAAACTCATGAAAGGGTTCACTGCTCATGATATAACAAACAGAGCTTCCAGTCTCAACAGTGATGCGGTGTTGAGTTCTTAATGTGTAGGCGAGGTTCTAACGATGAAATGTAGTGCGCTAGCATAAATAATTTATTTTATAATATCTAGACTTACTTAATAGATATTTAGAAATTGAGACTTCTAGACTTATTTGTGGTTTATATACTTAAGAATTAAATTTTTTTCCTGATTTTAAAGTAATAACTCAGGAAGAAGAATTGATGATTGTTTTAAATATCACCACTCAAATATAAACATTATTAGTATTTTAGTATAATTCCTATGGAAAGATTTTAAGTGCTCAATAATCAGAAAGTTTATACCAAGAAAAATAGAAATTTTCATCTATTTGCTATTTAAGAATTTAATGGGGAGAGGAGTGTCAGTGGAGATGTTCCTCAAGGAATACAGCTGTTCCTTGTAAGTTATTTTGCTTGGACCAACTTTGTTTTCAATGTTTTCAAAATGTCCTCTCTATGTGAATCTTTCAGGAACTTTTCCCGAATGTGGTAAAGTGTAGCGACATTTTCTAGAATACAGCAGGGATGGAACTGATGGACTAATGCTGTCTTGGGGTGAAATAGTAGATCAATGGGATGCTGAAACAAAATTACACAGACTAAAGCAGGAAAGCTTACTTTCGTTTTCATCCATTTCCAACAATGAGAGGTGTGAATGCTTTTGTTCAACATGGAAAAAATTCTCCATTTCCACTGCTAATTTTTCATATTGAAAAATATTTTTGGAGAGACCTGCTGGTGATGTGGAAGTTAAGGGACTGGATCCCACATGACTGAGTTCATGGTTCAAATCCTGTCCAGGGGCCTTGAAAAACACACCGGGTACATGTGCATGTGCCCAAAATTCTGAGAGGTGAATGAAGGAGAAGGGATTGTGTTGTGGCCATCCTTCCTGGGGAGTTCTCACTTCGTTCCCCAACTCTCTCTCTCCAGTGAGTACACACACACTATATAGCAAACTTAAAAAAAGAAAAGGTGAGGCAGGGTCTTGCCTCTCTGATTTAGAGCCATGCTTTCATTTCCTCTCCTTTCCTTCTCTCTCCCTCTGTCCTTTGCCCCCCCCCATCCTCTCCCACATTCCAGAAATAACTCTCCTCTTTTACCTCAGCTAGGTCAAACTGCTAGACTGTATATTGGGAAAATACTGTACTCAATCTGAAGAACCTCTAGCTTACACTGGGCTGGGCTGTAAAACACAGGCTCTCCACCTCAGGGTGCTCTGCTCTCTGCTCAACAGCCAGAAAGCCATCTACCACAGCAAGCAGGGGACACATACATGTGTGCTCGCCGCAGACACCTTCTCAGGTGGCCCGTGGTCTATCTCAGATGGTCTTAGAATTTCAGACCTCAGATTTGGCTATTTTTGTCTTTTTTTCCATTGGGATAATATTCAGTTAAATCATCATTTCAACTACGGATTGTTAAAACCAGATAAAAAAATCAGAACCAAATCAGAAAAACTCAGTTTCTACAGGGGAGAATTTCCAGTAGGTTGGTTGTGTGCCCACTCTTAGCCACAACGGCAAGTGTGGTAGAAGTGTTATCTCATTTAACCTGATGATGGCCAGAGTGTCCCCATTTTGTAGGTGAGAAACTGAGACCCAGGGGATTTTTTAAACAAGGAAGCCCAATTTAAAACATCTTATATTTTTACGGTATACGACTTGATGATTTGCTAGCCTCTTAGCAAATATTCAGTAAATAATACAATATTGTTACCTATAGCCATCATGCTATACAATAAATCAATCTAAGAATCAGAGAATTCAAATAAATTGTCCAAGGTCAAATAGTTCATGGCAGAGCTAGGATTAAACATAAGTTTATAATTCTAAAATCTATGGCCTTTTACCCATATCACAATAACTATTAATTGGTGAGTCAAAGTCTCTTTGTACTCCAATTTTGGCAAATACAGTATACAAACCCATATTAGCTGATTTGATCTGTGTCTCGTTTCTGTCTATAAAATGGGTATAGAGTTCTACTTTGGATTATTATCAGATGAGAAAGGATCCATGTCAAGTATGTTCATGACACAAATTAAGTCATTGATAACATGTAGCTATTATTGTTGTTACATCAGAGAAAAGAAAAATACCAGATATCAGAGAGACTTTGTGTTTATTCTCTAGGCTTGATTAGATAAAAAGTTAAGTCTAAAAAGTCTGGCCTATTCATTTGTTATGTTTATCAGAGACATTTGCCAGTTCTTCAGCAGAACAAGTTGATAGGTATCATAAAGTATCCATGGGAACCATGACTGTAGACCTGCTTTCCTTATTCAGAGTGTACGGGAAAGTCGTTCACAGTCTGAGGCAACACACTCCAAAGGGCACCTTGAAAACCTGAGATCAAGAGAACAGCTGAGGTGTTGAAAGAACTTGAAATTGGGTCACGGGAAGAATATTAGGGGTCTGCAGACCTGCAGCTTGGAGGACCATGAAGGGATGGGAGGGAAGAGGAGGAGGTGGCCCTGGAAACTACAGACGCTTGTGAGGCCGCTACTATGTAGGAGACTTATTTTTGGTGACTCTGGTTGGCAGAACTAGAGTCTCTGGTTAAAAATTGCCTGAACAGATTTTTGCCTTTATTTAAGGAAAAACTTATCACTTAGAACTGACTGACAGGAGGAGTGGGGCCATGGGCTGCCTTGGGAAGCAGTGAGTGCTCAGGCACAGACTAGAAGGCACTTGTCATCAGAGGTGTTGCAGAGACAGATCGGGTCATCGCCTAAGGTTGGGTTAAGAGACCTCCAGGTTCCCCTCCTAACTCAGAGTTAGTGACTTAATTTCTCATTGCCATTTGACAAAAATTGCTGTGTAGACTTGACACTGATGTAACACCTCTTCCACTCTGCACCATTTATCATAGCAGCGCTTTGTTGTGATTGTCAGCCTCTGGCAACTAAGCTCTTACAGATGAAAAGGGTGGTAGGGGATCTTAGAGGTCATCTCATTTTCTTTGGAGACTTGATTTGCTAAGGACATGTGGCCACTTTTTCGGTGGCTACTTCCAAAAGAGAATGTTATTCTCAACTGATTTGACTTTTTATAAAATTGGATTATCTGGCATCAGAAAACTCGGGAAAGAAAAGCTAGCCTGGGGAAGGTACTTCTGGTCGGAAACAAGAGAACAGGTGGTTGTAAGGCCTTATGAAATTAGCTGCCTGCTTTTAAAGACCTTGTGGGTTTTGTTCTCTGACATCATTAATAGAGTAACACCATGGTGATAACTTTATTAGGCCTAATTAGTTTTTCCATGTTTCCTTTATCTCATAAAAATAATAGAGGGCTTTTATTCTTCTCACATTATCAATTTGGGACTCTGGCAATTCCAGCGATAGTTGTCATTGAGCTGGAACCTTGTTCTCAAGACTTGACAATGTTATCTTTATCTGTATGTAGGTCATAAGAAATCCAAAATACTCCTCTCCCCTTTTTGCCATTTTTGTTAGAATTGGTGTTAGAATAAATTCATGTAGGACCAAAGTTCAGAAACACATGTTGATTTTAGGATCAAAGTCCAACAGGTGGAACCACTGTGGCAAATCAGTGTGTTTTATTTTTGCCCTGTGTTTATCCAGGGCCATTTTGTATTGACAGGCCAAATTTGTGTCAGTTATATTTTAGACCAATGGTCGTTATTGGGGACAAATTATTTGCCCATGTAATTCCTTTTTAGAATGTAATTTTATGACCTGATAATTCATTTTTCAGTATTTCATAATTTTTAGTTCATTAATTTAAGGTGTTTTTTTGAAACATGCCTATTTTGTTATATTTTCAAAGTGAAAGTGTCTTTATTTCTTTGTTTTTACTGATTTGGAAGGTAGTCCATGCTCATTGTGTAAAATACAAACAATTTAGGAATATTTAAAGTAGAAAGTAAAACTATCCCAGGCTCATGGATAATATAATCACTTAGGTTAGATCAGTCCTTACAAACGTATGATCAATTTTAAATATACATACATTCATATGTATATAATATATATATATAATGATTTAACATAAATCAGATTATACTATGCATGCTTTCTATAACTTAAAAATTTCATAGGGTATTAGGGTATGGACATTTTTCCATGGCAACACATACAAATATGCCTAGGCTTTTAAAAGAATTTACAGTATTGGGACCACCAGATGGCATAATGGTTATGTTGCTGGACTCCCACATAGTTGACTGCAGTTTGAGTCCTGGACCTGATGGCTTAAAACTCAAGCCGCGCATGTGTGCATGCGTGTTTCAGATCCCAAGAGGGGAATGGAGGAAAAGGAATTGATGTGTGTGGTCCTCCCCCCTGGGGGGGCTGATTTCTTGCTTTCTGTCTCTCTGGTGAGCACATGTACCCTCTAGCAAAAATCTCTCTAAAAAAGAAAAAAAAAAAAGCTACAATATTGATTTAGTCAACCCTTAATCCCTAACTGGTGGAGATTTAGTTTATTTTCTTTTATTGTCTTGGATATACAATATACATCTTTTTACATATATATTAGAGGTACTTATTTATTCTAACTAAATAATCGAATTCCTAAAAGTAGCATCACTAGTCAAAGGGTATGTGTTTTAAACTAATCTCTATTGCGAGATTTCCCTCAAAAAAAAGGTTTATAGAATTTTTATTTCCAAAAATGTATGAGAATGTCTGTTTGTTTGTTTGTTTTTCACTAAAAGCTTAACTGTTGTAATAAGCAATAGTTTTTTAAAACAATTATTTATTTTAGTTTATTTATTATCATTAATTTTAAATTTGACCAGGAGACACACAGAGAAGGGGAAAGTGAGAAAGCAAGCTGCCAGGTCCAGGACTCCAACCACAATCAGACATGTGGGAATCCAGAGCCTTAACCATCATGTCACCTGTTGGCCCGAGCTGTGATAATTTTTAATGTCTGACAGACTTTTTTTTTTTTTTTCAATAATTTAGCTGGTCTTTCATACTAGATCAGTTCTTGAGGTATTCTGTTCTTGAGGTATCCACCCTAGTTTAAATATTCTCTACAAAAATCTTAACTTGTACATCTTTTATATGACCAAGAAAAAGAAACTAAATCAAAGACAATGAAAGTGGAAGAAATAATTCCCTTATAAAAGTTATTGTTGGAGTTGATTCCTTAAGTCATTGTAACTTAGAGAAGTGAGGCTTTAAATCTCAGCTGGTGTGCTGAGACTCTTTGCTATCTTTTAGTGTATTTATTTATTTTTAAAAGACTTTATTGCATCTTTTAGAGAGTGAATTAAATTTTCAGAGTGTCATAAAAGTTGAAGCTAAATTGTAGTTAAATCCAAAGTTAATTTAATTGCATTGGTGAGCAGTTCAAAAGGTGTCTGAATATAATACATTTAAATAAATCTCTTTTAAATGAGTAGGAAACTCTGAGGATGAAGAAAGTGCTTCAGAATCTGAACTTTGGAAAGGTCCACTCCCAGAAACAGATGAAAAATCACAGTAAGTACTCATATTAATAGGCAGTATATACCCTTTAAAAATCGATTTAGAAAATCATGGTCATGGCTATTTTTAATAATAGTTCAAGAGAAAATTGAACATCGTGTCTATTTAATACCAAGGACTTCCTAGCCTGGTGAGATGAGAGTTTGTTCTCAGACATCGTTTGTGGCCGTGATCAGCCAATGTGGCGAATAAGTCTCATCCTAACAGATGACCCTCTAGTCCTTGCTTAGATTCCCTCAGAGAGGCCTTTCGCCAGCTGCAGAGTAGCCTAGTTCATGACATTGTGATGGTCATAAACTCACACAAAGGAGCCCTGGGAGCATTTGTGCAGGAATACAAGTGTCCCTGCCAGGACCCTCTTCGCCCTGAGACAGGCAGCGCAGTGCACTCCTCCTCTGCTCTGTGTCGGTAAAGAAGTGGTGCCTAAGGTGGGCTGGAATGTTCCTGGCCCTTGTCATTTTGCTGGGATGTTTCCCACCTGAACTTTACCTGTTAAAAAGGATGGGGTGATACCTATCACCTACATTTTATTGTGAAGATTAAGTGAAGAAGGTTTTTTTTTAAGAAAACAACTGTTAAAATAGCTACAAATATACTGAGTCAGTTCAGTAAATTTCAGTTCCATTTTGTCGGTTCCTTGTCAGATTGGTTCATAATAGAAACTTGTAGAATCAACTATAATTCGTTAATGTAAACTCACTAAAACATTCTGCAAATGATATATTCTCAGTGTAATGGAATTCAGGCATGATGCTAAGAGTTTTTTTTTTTTTGAGAGGTTTTCGCTATAGGGTGCGTGCTTTCGCCCGACAGACAGAGAGAGACACAGAGACAGAAAGCGAGAAATCACCCCCCAGGGGGGACGGTCACACCGCAATCCCTTCTCCTCCCTTCTCCTCTCGGGATCTTGGGCACGCACGCACACGCGCCCGGCATGAGTTTTAAGCCACCGGGTCCGGGATGCGAACTGTGGTAGACTACGTGGGAGTCCAGCGACATAGCCATTACGCTAACTGCTGGTTCCCAGATGCTAAGAGATTTTAAAACAAGGTTACTTTTTTCTCTTTTTTCATGACTTTAACCTTTTTTTTCCCTGCCAAATGAAAAATTCGCAAAGTATGGTTATTATTGATCAGATTATTAAAAAGCTATTAAAACTCTCAATCATGCATGGGTCACTTCTCCTTGAAGAGCTTCATAGCTGAGAATAACACAGTAGCTATTAGAGTTAGTTTACCGTCTTAGGCATGAAGGCTGCCTGGATAAATTATATGAGAAGTTTCATAGAACAAAATATGCATTCAACTCTTTTGATATTGATAAAGTCCATACAGGGATTCAACCAATTATATATATTTAAGTTCTTACTATATTTTTAAAAAATCTTACCGCATTTTACTGTTGGGCTAGAAAAACTGGTAGCATGGGGAATGCCAAATTGTAGATATTCCTTAATCAACTTTGATTCTGTAATTAATTTTTTTCTTTAAATTTGAACATGGTTGGGATGACATTTTCAATTATTTAAAATCAAATGACCGAGTCCTATTTTGACTCTCTGGCCTGAAAGAACATTTTCTAAAGAGACTGGTAGGCTAATTTTTAATATCCAGCTTGATTCCCTGTTCCCAAAAGGATGGAAAGCAACGCACATTCATTTCATCCTCGCAGGTCTCTGAGAAACTGTAATTATCTTCATTTTACACATGAGAAAATTAAGTTGGGAAAAGCTTAGTACCTCGCTCACACAGCCAGGGATAAGTACAGATCCGGGATTGAGCACTGCCTCACCTGAAAGCCACGTTTGCACTGTTTCTGGCTCCTAGCACTGTAGTTTTCATAGCACTTTGATGCATTATAATCTAATTTCTCCTTCCACAATCTATTCTTTGTTTAGAAATCATCTTTACTGCTACAAATACACATTTACTATACTCAGAGTAATAAAAAAAAATTATAGCCCAAGCAGATTTTCTCCATTCCTATGAGTAAGACTTGTGTCTTCCTTTAAAGGTCGTTTATTTTTTATTCCTTTCTTGAGTAGGCTTTAGTTTGAAATGAGACTAAATAGAGATAGTATAAAGTGAACTGAAAAAAAGAAAGAGAGTGAGACAATGACATTTTACAAAGTACTTGGAAGCAAAATCCTGGAGTCTACATTTAGGGAAAGGTGCTAACATGAAATGTTTCCATTTTAATCGGTCGGTATTGTTATGATTATTCTAGAAACTAAGAATTATCCCTTAGGTGAATCCTGGAAATACATTAACATATAGAAGGCTCAGTGAATATGCTGAATTATTTTGTGTATTAATCTCATCATGTATCACTTAGTAACTTTTTTACTCCATAATTTTAATCACTATGTATTTGTTTTCTTTTAACTAGGGAAGAAGAATTTGATGAGTATTTTCAGGATTTGTTTCTGTGAGACGGAAGAGAGGAGCCTATATTCCTTAGTGTGAGAGTACGTTTTGAAACTTCATAAAGTTTTATATGCAAGTTACAACTTCAGTGGTTTGTCTTTGGGAATAAAAATGGAGCTATTCTCAGGATGTTGGATGCTTTATAAATTCATTAGTTCTTTTCCTTTTTGAAAAAAAAATAATGCTTATTCACTTATTTATCTCATGAGAGAGAGAACAAGAGAGGTAAGCAACTCCAACAGGGTTTTTGCCCTGTAATTCAGCCCCCACCCCACATGCTCAGTGAGGTCCTGGGACATGAACCCAGGACCTTTCCCATGTGGGTCAAATTGCTCTACTTATTTTTTGTTTTGTTTTTGTTTGGTTTGATTTTTGCCGTATGGGGTATGCACTTGCCAGAGTGAGACAGAGAGAGACAGTGAGAGAGAAAGTGAGAAATTACCCCCCCACATGGGGGGTGGTCATACTGCAATCCTTACTCCTCTGTTCTCCCTCAAGATTTTGGGCACGCATGCACATGCACCTGGTGTGATTTTTAAGTTGCCAGGTCTGGAACTCGAGCCATAGTCAGCTATGTGGGAATTGAGCACCTTAACCGCCACACCCCCTGTTGGACCCTGTAGTGTTTTTTTTAAAAAAATGGATTTGTATTTATATTCTCTTGCCTGAATTATTTTAAGTTACTTGGATTCTAGGGATCCCACAAAAATGACAAAGTAGATGGAGTAGGTCGTCAGCCTTTCCCCTTCCCTTTGGTATGCCGGCACCTCTCATAAGCACCTGCTTTCCCATTCCCACCTACTTCAGGCTGCCTTTGTTTTTGTTTTTTGTCTTTTGCTTCCTTCTGACATGCCATTTGTTATAATCAAATGTGACTTTCTAGTCTGCAGTTAATTTACTAAAAAGTAAATTACTCCCACAGGGAGCCCATGAGGTCCCAGTAGTCAAAAACAGTGGATGTATTCACAAAATTGACTTCCCAACAGAGATTATACAATAAAATAATTAACTGGCTAATGCTGTGTGCCTAGAGTTGTCTCAGATGTGCTCATGAAAACATGAATATTTGTGTTTGCAGGGGTATATTGTAAGTGTGACTTCCTGAGCTTCAGGAGATTCAGACCTTTCTGGAACCTCTCTTGTAGACTTCTGTGTCTATGTAGGTTTTTGTAGAAAAGGTTCATATGTTTCAGTTGTTCAAAAATCAAAATTTCAGAAGTATTTATTGATTTCTTAAAGACCTACTTTATTATAAAGAGTAAATAGATGAATAAAGAAGAGTTTTTTTTTTTTTTTTGAGAGGTTTTTGCTATAGGGCACGTGTGCTTGCCAGAAAAACACAGAGAGACAGAAAGCAAGAAATCACCCCCCCGGGGGGATGGCCACACCGCAGTTCCTTCTCTTCCATTTTCCTCTCAGGATCCTGGGCACGCACGCACACGTGCCCAGCGTGAGTTTAAGCTGCCAGGTCCGGGACTCGAACCGCGGTCGACTACATGGGAGTCCAGCAACATAGCCATTATGCCAACTGCTGGTCCCAAGAAGATTCTTAATAAGAGATAGAACATGTAGAAAATTATCTTAACATATCAGTTACTTTATTGAAGATACACTATTTTAAATGACATTTAAACATGGAATCATTGGCAATAAACTGCAAAATAAGTACAGTAATTTAGTGTCTATTTTTAAAGTCGGTAGTATCTGAGAAATTTTTTTTTAAGTTTGTCAGAGAGCATGTGTGCTCACCAAAGAGAGAAGGAGACCGAGAGAGGGAGGGAAAGTGAGAAAGCATCCCACTATGGGGAATGGTCCTGCCTCAGTCCCTTCTCTCTCTCTCCCTTCTTTTTGAATTTTGGGCTTTCAAGCACACATGCCTGGCATGTCTATCAAACCACTGTGTTCAGGACTCAAACTACGTGGTTGGGTATGTGGGATCCAGCTGCCTTAACCACCAAGACTGACCTGAGATTTTTCTTTGATTAAATAGTTGTTATTCATTAATTCCACAAGTGCTCGTCAGGTCTGTTACGTATGAGACTCTGTACTCAGTGTTGCTCTGAAGGAACTGTCTAGGAATTAATTATGCAACTCTTTCTGAACTCTCAGAAAACAGCAGATCAGTTTGCGGTTTGTTGTTAAACATTGTGTGACAGTCCTCTCAGTTACTGAAAAAAAGTGTTTTGTTTTTTAAATCTGTTTATAGAGAATAAAAAGGAATCTCGATTTCTGAGGAAAAAGTGTTTGAAATGTCCAGCAGCAAAATTGATATATGTAGCAGAATGTATGTAATTCAACATCCTTAGGATAAAAATATTAATAGTTTAGTAGTTTTTAGAAAATAAAATTCTTGCAAAATAACAAGTAGGAAGACTATTTTAAGAATCTATGTATTTGATCTCACACGCATGGTTTATGACATCAGGTTCATTTATAAATTGAGGTCATTATATAAAATCACAACACTTAATCCATTCATACACCTGGCAGATAATGGAAGTTACAGGTTTAAGGAGTCTTGAAAAGTCCTCGAAGATGAGAGTAATAGTTCAGGCCCTCGCACAGCCGTCCAGCCCATGTGAAGCGACACCTCCTCACACCTTCTACCTTCCACACACCTTCCAGGGTGGCATTTTTTTGACCATAATGCTGTTTCAGTGACGAGGAGGGGAAGTTGTTTTAGCTAAGTGATTTTTCGGGATCCCAAATTACATAAGGCTAAGGGAACAGTTTCTTAGGTGGGTTTTAGACAGTCGTCACCCTAGAGGTAGAGCTTCAGATTGGTGTAATTAAACGCTGGCACTGAGGGAGCACGTGACTCACTTGCTCAGGGTGATACCTCAGTGAGCAGCAGTCACTCGAGTGTGCGTGTGACTCCGTCATCCCTCACGAGGACCTGCCTGTCCTCACCGTGACTCAAATAAATATATTCGTTTGTGCCCAATGTGGGTGCCTACCTTTGACCAGGCACTGGTACCAAGACGGTTGTGAACAAAGCAGACAGACGGAAATCCCTCCTCGAATCTGACATTCCAATGATTCTAAGTACCTAACTTGTAAAATACAGTTAGTGATCATTTAGTTTTTGGCTGCTTAAACTTGAACATTATCTTTTTTTTTTTTTTTTTTTGAGAGATTTTCACTGTAGGGCGCATGCGCTCGCCAGACAGACAGAGAGAGACATAGAGACAGAAAGCGAGAAATCACCCCCCAGGGGGGATGGTCACGCCGCAATCCCTTCTCCTCCATTCTCCTCTCGGGATCTTGGGCACGCACGCACACGCGCCCGGCGTGAGTTTTAAGCCACCGGGTCCGGGACACGAACCGCGGTCGACTACGTGGGAGTCCAGCGACATAGCCATTACGCTAACTGCTGGTTCCCAACATTATCTTGTATACAAGATACACTTGAGGTTCTTAAATCTTCAATTATAATTGAGGTATGTTTTGACAAAATCTATGGCAAAATAGATGGCATAACTGTTACTCTTCTGTTCTCTAATTCTGTCTATGATTATGGATAAGTAAAAGAAGAAATCTTAAATTTCTCTGCTATCCAGATAGACATACACTAGGTGATTATTCTTAATTTCTCCTAACAATTTAATTTTTACTTAAATTGCCAGAGGGCCCATCATTCGCAGGGGAGGTGGAAGGAGAGAAAAAAAGAGAAAGCAAGAAAGTACCCCCATGGAGCATGTTATGCCATAATCCCTTCTCCATCTTTTCTTCCTTTCAGGATTCTGGGCACACACGCATACACAGCCATCATGTTCTCAAGATGCAGGGTCTGGGACTTGAACCATAGCCATGTGAAATTTAACTGCATTAACCACCAGGTCATCAGCTGGCCCCAGTTTAATATTTAGAATGACTGGTAGACAGTTCTGTTAGTTATTTTCTTAAAGTAATCTCTGTTGAAGTCGTTCTAAACTGCTTTTGATAATGAAATTCTTACATAATCAAATTGCATGCTTCTTAATAATGCATATTTATTAGCTGATTTACCTGCTTTAGGATTATCCAATTAGTGACTTATAAACTGAGCATTCTTTCCATGAGAATAGTTTTGATTGTTAAAAATAATTCATAGTTTCACATAACAAAATAATTTATTTCAAACTCCAAAGGAGGGATGTAGGACAAAGATATAGTTTTTGTAGATGGACAGAAATGGTGTGGTCTTGGACTAGCAGGTGGCATGGAGGCTCAGGCATTGGAGCCCACATGGCTGACTGTATGGTTTGAGCCCTGGATCTGGCAGCTTGAAAAAACACACACACACACACAGACACACACACACACACACACACACACACACACACACACGTATGCATACCCAAAATCTCAAGGAGACTGGAGAAGGGATTGCAGTGTAACCATCCCCTGAGGGTGATTTCTCACTTTCTCTTCTTTCTTTCTTCATGGACCCTCTAGCAATACAATTTTAAAACAAACACAAAAAAATGATGTGGTCTTCATTATTCTATTATCAAGGGTGAAAATAGAGGTCTTTGATGATAAGCATTTCAGATGGAGTAACATTTGACATCCTTTTTACTTTTTGTGTGTGTGCGTTTATGTACATTATTTTTCTATTCTGCATTTACTCTTGCACTGAGATGTGTTGATAAAATCAGTTATGAATATTATGACCTCAACCCCAGATATATTGTATGTTGAAGTCCTAATCCCCAGCCCTTTGGAATGTGACTATTTGGAGACCCAGAGCGGTGAAGGAGGTCATTAAGATTAACATGAGGTCACATGGGTGGGCTCTAATCCAGAACCCCGGGTGTCCTTACAAAGGGAGATTAGGAACAGACACACCCAGAAAGTCCCTCTGAAGGGGGTAGGGAGGAAATGGGTTGCCTATTTACAAACCCAGTAGAGAAGGCCTATGGGAAACCAACCCTGCTGACACCTCTATTGTGAACCGAGGCCTCTGAACTGAGAGGAAATGAATTTCTCTTAATTTAAACCATCTAGTCTGTGGTACTTTGTAATGGCAGTCTCAGCAAATAAATCGTGCAATTAATAACTTTTTAAAAAAGAATTTGTGACTAATGTCAGTATTGCATTTTTTTTAATTTAAAATAAATTGGCACCAAAAATACACCTATTTTTCTCTTATTTTACACTTTTGTTGAACTTTATTTTACCCTCAGGGTTTTCAGGCTAGTAATATATATTTTCTTGACAATCATAAGACAGTTTTTCTGGAAATCCTCTTACTCTGTTACTTGATGGTTTGCTGAATGAAGTTTGTTTAAGTTCTTTTGAGTGTTTTTCATTCTTTGAAAGTAGAATGGCATTGACATTCAGGCCAGTTGGATTCTGTCACAACATTAGACACGTTTTGGACTTTTTGTCATCGGCGGCAGCGGCAGCAGCACCTGCGTCTTCGGCAGCTAGTGAGAAGAACAGCAGTGTTACGCGGCGGTGGGGAGAGGTTTTTGTTCTAACACTCAGGATACTACTGTGACTGAATAGCCTACTTAGTCACTTTAACCTAGAGCAAGAACTAAGGGCCTGGCCATTTAAAAGGTTGGACTCATATTCAGAATTGGCCCATGTAAAGAATAGAACCCGGTTAGTGGTTAGCCAGGGAACATTCGCATTTTCTCCCCAAGACTCTAAGCTGGGAATCTGAGCTTCAGACAGGTTTGATGTCGGGATGCTAAATAATGCTCATAGTCCACAGACTTCTTGGTGTAATAGGAAAAAATTCAGAGAATGTTCAGGCTAGTAAAGTATGGAAAATCCATACCAAATAAGCGATTAAAAGGAAATGTCTGGAGCCTCTTCAAGGACCTAATAGTCTCTCCATCACAAAACTGAGATAAAGGCTGAGTTTAATAGTACTAAGAATGGCCGCACTTTTCACTTGCTCAATAAAAATCTTTTTGAAGCGCAAATCGGATCTTCCCACTTTCCTGTTTAAATCCCTCTAATGACCATGGGAGACTAGAAAGTCCTTTGCCTTTGCGAGGTCTCTGAGGCCCAGCTCTGGGTGCTGTCCGCTAGCTGCCTGGACCACCAACCTTGTCTGCTCCTCTGCTCTGCCTATGCGCTAGACTCCAGCTCCACCAGCTTGTAAGTTCTTCAGTTGCACTGAGCTAATTTCCACTTCAGTACCTTTGTGTGTTCTGCTCTTTC